TCGCTCTCTCTTTGTCAAATAAATAAAATCTTTAAAAAAAAAATCCAAATACTCACCAACAGCCACATGGGTAAGCAAAATGTGATATACCCATATAATAGAATATTATTTGGCCATAAGAAGAAACGAAGTTCTAATACACACTACAACTTAGATGAAGCTCAGAACATTATGCTAAGTGAAAGAAGCAGTATGCAAATATAACACCTGTTGTATGACTCCACTGATATGAAATGTCCAGAAAAAGGAAAATCCATGGAGACAGAAAGTAGATTAGTGGTTTCCAGGGGCTGCAGGGAAGGAGAATCAGAGAATGACTGCTAATGGGTATGGGGCTTCTCTTTGGGGTGATGAAAATGTTCTGGAACTAGATAGAGGTGATGGTAGCACGACTCTGTGAGTACATTAAAATCACTGAAATGCATACTTTAAAGGGGTGAATCTTATGGTCTGGTCAGCAGAGAGTTTGTTTAAGATTTTTCTCCCATTTCCTCACCTTCTGCCCTTCCCCCTGCAGTCTCCTTCTCTCTCTCAAATAAGCAAATCTTTAAAAAAAAAGTTTATTTATTTAAGTAATCTCTACACCCCACATGAGGCTTGAACTCATGACCCCAAGATCAAGAGTCATGTGCTCGGGGCGCCTGGGTGGCTTAGTGGGTTAAAGCCTCTGCCTTTGGCTCAGGTCATGATCCCAGGGTCCTGGGGTCGAACCCCGCTTCAGGCTCTCTAGTCAGTGGGGAGCCTGCTTCCTCCTCTCTCTCTCTCTGCCTGCCTCTCTGCCTACTTGTAATCTCTGTCTGTCAAATAAATAAATAAATATTTTTTAAAAAAGAGTCAAGTGCTCCAACTGAGCCAGCAAGGAGCCCCCCTTTTTTTCAGGTTTTGACAATATTAATCAGAGCCATTTTCCCATAAAGAGAATCAGATGGCCGAAGCAGAATATACGGAAAGTGATGCCACAAGAATGAACTTAGTTGAACAAGCTAACAAGAAAGGAAGGGAAAGTCTTTAAAATGTCCTCCCCAAAAGACCAGCTGGCCCTGATAGATTCGCTGACAAGTTTTTTTAAACTTACAAATCAAAAGTAATCTACATATACAGTCATGAAAATAAGGAACTCCTCCCAATGACCTAGCAGGATTCTTCTTAACTACACAAGATAATACTGTTATCTCAATATACACCCATAAGGCACATATAAATATAACTGTCCACTTATGATGAAATGCTTCCAGTTAAGTATTTCAGAATAAGGAAAGGAGTCCTTTTTTTAACCAAAACCTACCACCTTCTGAAGTTCCATCACACGCCTAAGCTCTTATGATTCTTACTGCCCAGGCTGCCCAGCTTAGCCTCCACCCCCTCTGGAAAGTCTCCTCTACAACAGTTCACTCTTGAACTAGTTACTTATTAGCAAATCTAATCACATTTTGCCTATGTTCAGAATACTCCTGCAATCCCCACTGCTTAAATAAAGAAGTCCATGCCCCTTGGAATGGAACATACGACTCTTCCTTCAACTGGGTCATTCTGACTCTCCCTAGGAAAGCATCCCATCACACAAGACAACTTACAGATCTACTCACAGGCCTTACTGTACCACCACACAGACCCACCTGACAAACTCCTGTATGTCTCTCAACACCAAGCCAAAACACCCCTGTAAACCCACAGTAACCACCACTCTCTCTCAGACACAACAGTATCTATCAAGAAGATACATCAACACTCAAATATCTCGCCTGAAGTTAACACCAAAGTCTCAAATTCTAGACCCAGCCTAGGCCACCATCGTCACTCACCTCCCACCAACCATATATCCTAAAAGTCCCAATAGCCTTCATCACAACCAAGGGTCTCTTGGAAATCAGAAGCAACAGCCAGAAAGGCTTTAGCTGCTGTTATCCTCCCTCTCATGTCCCCAGTGGAATACATGCTAGTAGCTTCAGGTCCAATTGTTATGAACGATGATACTTTCAGTTTTGGATAATGCATGCTCATTAACTACCCCCACCCCCTGCAAATGTATGTACACATACCAAAGAAAGCAATCCCAGAAAATGAAAAGTGCCAAAGGGGATTCTGATCTTCCAAATCCAGCACTGGGATAAACAAGCCCACCATCATTCCTAAGAGGAACGTCTTCCCTCTACCCCTACATCTGTCTTGTGCTAGGTCTTTTCAGCCATTCAGCCAGTCCTGTCTCCTGGGAAAGCCAGAGGCATCCATCCTTCCTAGGGAGAATCCCTATCTAGCTGCAAACTGATTCCTACTTTTTTTTTTTTTTTTAAGATTTTACTTATTTATTTGACAGAGAGACACAGTAAGAGAGGGAACACAAGTGGGGAGCGGAGCGGGGGCAGAAGCAGGCTTCCCATCAAGCAGGGAGCCCGATGTGGGGCTCAATTCCAGGACCCCGGGACCACGACCCGAGCCGAAGGCAGATACTTAACAACTGAGCCACCTAGACGCCCCTGATTCCTACTTTCTACCTTAAGGAATAATCAGGCAGATTATCAGAAATGACAAGAAGGAGGGGGTGCCTGGGTGGCTCAGTGGGTTAAAGCCTCTGCCTTCAGCTCAGGTCATAGTCCCAGGGTCCTGGGATCGAGCCCCGCAATGGGCTCTCTGCTCAGCAGGGAGCCTGCTTCCCCCTCTCTCTCTGCCTGCCTCTCTGCCTACTTGTGATTTCTGTCAAATAAATAAACAAATAAAATCTTTATTAAAAAAAAAAAAGAAGGAAAGAAATGACAGGAAGAAAAGCCCTCAGAGCCGGTAGCCAGAGTGAAATGAAAATAGGTGTAATTCCCAAAGGGGCCCCTTTCTCCTGCCAAACAAGAGACGCACCACTCAGGATGTAAAAAAAGGTGCCAACTCTCCAGATACATTAGTGTAGGGACCAACACCTCATCTACTGTCTCCAAGCCCCTTCTCCTATAGGCCCACGTCCTGGGCCCAGACAGGGTCTAAAGGCATAAGGGCCCCAAATGCATTTTGACACAGTATTACCTTCTCAACATCAAGGCACATGACCAGCAGCTGGCCTCCAACTGGTGCAGAGGGGGTCAAAAACTCCATCTTATGAGTGAGGCAAACAGATATGGCCAGCTCCGCATGGCTCCATCTCAAAGAGACTCAGGTCAGCCCAGGTAGATCTTGAACCTCCCCCTCCCACCTCATCTGCTCCACTCCATGGATCTCAAACCAAATGAGCAATGCAAAAAACGGTTCTTACTGAAGAAGGATGAGCATGTGAAACTTGGAATACCAAGCCTAGTGCATGGTTAAAGGCTGTATTCCAAATCCACCTGATAGATGTGAGGACTCCTTGATACAAGGGCATCTGCTTTTGCTTATTTTAATTCTATTCACACTTTTTAAACAAATAATATATTCACAAGAAAGAAAATATGAAGATTTTGAAAACAAAAAATTTCTTTCCCAGTCCTATCCCTAGTCACCCTGTCACTTCCTAAGGGATAGCTGATATTACAAGTTTTTCTATAGATTTCCAAAGATATTCAATGCATGTATAAGCAGGTACAGATATGCTCAATTTGCCTTTTTAATTTTTACACACTTCATAGCATATCATACACTGTTCTATGCCTTACATTTTCCACTTAACAATACACTCTAGAGATTACTCTAAATCAGTACCTAAAGAACCTCCTCATTCTTTTCATGGCTGCATAGTATTCTTTTCTGGATTAACAAAATCTGAATTAACAAAAATTCATTTAACCAATGTTCAAGGTTGCTTAAAGTGACAGTTAATAACAGATTATAACAGTTACTTCTACATAATAAGCCTCTTCTTCCCTGCCACCAAAGCAGTGCAAAAGTTCAAAGAGCACACTTGGAATAAGAAAAAGAGTAAGGGGCATCCGGGTGGTTCAGTTGGGTAAGCCACTGACTCTTGAGTTCGGCTCCATGATCTCAGGGTTTTGAGATCAAGCCCCTTGTCCCTCTTCTTCCCCCTCTGTCCCTTCTCCCTGCTTGCAGGCATTCTCTCTCTCTCTCAAATAAATAAATAAAATCTGGAGCGGGGGGGAGATTACAGCCACATGCTACACAAAGAAGTCAAATATGCCACACACATCCTGATTAATAACTAAAGGCCAGTTTTCCCTGAGATCAAAGCCAAAACATTTCAGACTCCTGACAAGTAGCTGAATCCTGAGCAAGTCTAGATTTCAAGTTCTTGAAATTGGTCAATTAGAAAAAGATATCTGTGTCTTACATTAAGCATAGATGGGAAAAGATGTAACATTTAAGTGCTGCTCTCTCTTTGGAAAAAGCCAGCTGCCTTCTCTCGGTGTCTGGGGCACAAAAAGTAGAGAGAGCCAGGGCAGAGACACAAGAGACTTTGCCTGCCTTCATGACGAGGCCAGGGTAGCTTGCACCATGTCACTTAGGCCACTGAAGGAACGGATGGACTTTGGACCATCTTCTGGTGGAGGTTTCTATCCCTTCAACTGTACATAGCCCAAGTGGTTGAAAGGGTGCCTGGGTAGTATCGGAGGACCATCTGCAGGGCCCAGAGCATTCCACAAATCTGAGGTTACTGACTGCAAACCCAAGTCTCACACACTTCATATTTATTAAAAAATTGCCTCAACCACGTTCTAAATGGGAGGCCACTTAAAGACTGATTCTTAACAATGATGAAGTAACAAAGAAGCCAGAGTTGGCAGCAGCCTTCTTCTCCATATATGCCAGAGTCCCGGGATGGTCAAATGCCAATGGGAGTGAGGGCTACTAAGGCGTATTTCCACTAGGAGTAAGCTCAGGTTGGTTTTGACTGCAAACAGTTCAAATTCCAATTAATTTTTGGAATGGAAGCCCATACCATCCCAACCATGGCCATGTTTTAGGATTTTCCACCCAGTGACTTGGCTTTAAGTAAGATAGTCTCCAACCTCTTGGCTGCCACCATGATTCTCACCACAGAATGGATCAGAATTGCAGAACAAATATTCTCTTAACCAATGACTCACCAGGAAGTCTGTTCATGTTGACGCCTTGAGCTGAGAGTCCTATTCCCATGTACCTTCAAAAAATCACACACAAGAAAAATTTGGTTAGCAAATGATTACGCATCTCCCTTCTAAAACATTTCTTGGTAAAAGAAAAACAAGAAAAGCAATGAATATAAGACTCTTAACACAGTTCTTGGAGACCCTTCATATTTTGATTTTCTAATGAAAATCTAAAATATCATCTAAATGCCTTAAGTAGCTAGAGAAACAAGAGGTAATGTCTGTAACCAGGAACTTCAGTTTCAGATGAAAGTTTCCTGAAATCACTGTTTCCAGTCCCTTGGTTTCTGGCTCCAGCTAACACAGTGGAATCTATCCTCGAGAAGTACCTAAGTAAGTACTTGAATCCTAGGTAGTGCTTGGCAGAACAAAGCAAGATCAAGCCCACAGGGATAAGCCACTATTCAGCAAGGACCAAGACATGGAAAAAATATAGCCAGGTTGGGTCTGTATAGAATTATCAAGACCCCAGGGTTCTTCTCTGGGTATCTCCAAACTCACTAACGTAACCTAATACATGCACTCACCACTGGCCTCCCTGATCATCCAATGTTGAGGCAGAGTGTCCTTAAGCCCTAAGGATCCCCCTACCCCCCCTCTTCCCACCCAGGTACCTAAACACCTAAGTTATCCACAGCAAAGCAGGGCCCATGCTGTGCACCTCGGTCAAAGATGTCTCAGTGGCATTCATGAGTAGGCAGGCCAGAAAAGGAAATGAACAGAGTTTTTTAGTCTGTTTGTACTGTGCAAGGAAATAGTGAGGTATTTCCCCAAGAACTAAGAGAAATAGGTCATTACCTTCTAACAGTACAACAGGAGAAACCCACACATGATGCCTGATATTAACCATCTGCGAGTGCCAACAGGTAGTTGAGAAGCTCAGAATACTAAAAACACCAACCAAGAGGGCTGAGATATAACTTTATGGTTGCATAAAAACCGAATGTACTTAAGGCCACTGAACTTATACTTTAAGATAGTGAAAATGGTCAACTTTATGTGGTGTATATTTTACCATACACACAAAAAAAAGTTTTTAAGATTTTATTTATTTATTTGAACAGAGAAAGAAAGAGCATGAGAGAGAGCGCAACCAGGGGAAGAGGTAGAGGGAGAGAGAGAAGCCAACCCCCTGACATAGGACTTGACTCCAGGACCCTGGAATCATGACCTGAGCCAAAGGCAGACATTTAACCCACCGAGCCACCCAGGCGTCCCCACACAAAAATGTTTTTTAACACAGGGTTGCCTTCTTTCGACCATTTCCAAGTGGCTGCACATTTACATTCCAACTGTTGCCTGTTGTAAATGATTCTGCAAGGAACACTTCCACATACATGTCCCCATCTTGGATTATTACTCTTTCCCCAACATGCTCCATGCACCTACGTACCTGTTTCCTAACACTACCTGAGCTCCCACAACATGGTGCTCCTGTCTCTGCAAGTCCTTCATCTACAGCAAACACCCCTTTCCCTTCTCTGGCTGGCTGTGCCACTGCGTTTTGGGGGAGCAGCAGCAGGAAGGCTCTGACCCACACATCTTCCTCTGAAACCAGCTATCCCATTATGCTGGCAGGAACCAGGATGACACCAACCAACACATGACCCTGGTAACTTGGACTGCAGGAGTTAGGGGAAAGAGGAAGGAAGGGAAAGGAACAGCACTTCAAAGAGGGGCCTGCAAGGTTCAAAGGACTGAGACTATCAAACTGCCTGACCTCCTGACAAAAATGGACCTTGAAGAAGAATCAGTGTAAGCCTGCTGGCAGGATTCTTATTAGATTAAAACCTGTACTTTTCCCCAGAAAAACAGCAGCCCAAATAATCAGCTTCCTTACTTCACTTGGTAGAGGCTGCCACAAGCTGGTCTTCATTCTCTCTCTCTTTTTTTTTTAAAGATTTTATTTATTTATTTATTTATTTATTTTTAAGATTTTTTAATTTATCTATTCGACAGACAGAGATCACAAGTAGGCAGAGAGGCAGGCAAAGAGTGAGGAGGAAGCAGGCTCCCCGCTGAGCAGAGAGCCCGATGTGGGGTTCGATCCCAGGACCCTGAGATCATGACCTGAACCGAAGGCAGAGGCTTTAACCCACTGAGCCACCCAGGCACCCCTGGTCTTCATTCTCTTATGCCTTGACTGACCAAGCAGCAAACAACCTTAACTGCTCTGCAGTCATCAGTCTAAATAATCATGTACAACATAGCCAGGGGTTTCCCTGACTTGGATGTCAGCCCACTCATCCTGCCCTGTTTGGAAGGGCCTGAGTCCCTGCCCAATATCACATGTGATCCCATTCCTGCCATACAGGTTTCCTGACACAAAAATGAGGGTTTGTGTTTAGAGCACATTTTTCCTGGATAACCCTTAGCCACTTAAGGTTAACGCAAATAGGGAAGGTCAACCAGCTTGGCCACCAGCAACAAGGGTCTAATTCCATAAATTTCCATGGGAATAAGGAACTACTAAGGCACATGTACTCAAACACAAGTTGCTTAGGTTTCTGCACTGGGGAAGCCATTTCCACATCCAGCAGCCAGCTCTCAACACCTACCTATAAACTCTCTACCCCATAGGTGGGATAGTGTTTACCAGGCCTACAAGCCTTTACATAAACCCTAGGGTCAACTTGTGAATCCTCTCCCAGAGGAGATCCTATACCCACACTTGGGTGCCATGTCACCTGCAGGTGTCAATGACACAGGGAGCAACTCCACAGGAACCTAAGTTGCATATCATATGATGCTGGAGTTGAGTCACTGTTCAAAAGAAATGAGTCCCAACTCTTCAAACAATGGGTGATATTAAGTCTTTTCTAAAAGTCTGATGTCTAAAATAATAAAAACACACAGCCTTATACCTTCCAGCAAGTCTTCATGCACTTGAAAACTATTCTCCAACCAGTCTGAGATAAGCAGGGGTAAAAAAGCTGTAAGGACACCGTGAATATACTGAAAAACACTGAACCGAACACTTTAATTGGGGAATTGTATGGTAGGTTAAGTTACATCTCAGTCACACTCAACAAAGTAGGAATAAACAAAAACTGTCTCAACATAATAAAAGCCATATATGATAAGCCCATAACTAACATCATACCCAATGGTGAAAGACTGTAAAACTTTTCCTAAGATCAGGAACAAGACAAAGATGCCTGTGTTTGCCACTCTATTCGACAGAGTGTTAAAAGTTCTAGCCAAAGCAATTAGGCAAGAAAAATAAAAGGCACCCGAATTGGAAAAGAATAGGTAAAACTATCTCTGTCCACAGATGACATGATCCTATATGTAGCAAACCCTAAAGATTCCACAAAAATGCTATTAGAATAATCAAATTCAGCAAAGATGAAGGATACAAAATCAACACATGAAAAGTAATTGTTTTTCTATACACTAACTATACACTAACAGTGAATGACAAAAAAAGGAAATTAAAATAATTCCATTTATAATAGCATTATAAAGACTAAAGTGCTGGGGGGGGCACACCTGGGTGATTCAGTCAATTAAGCACCCACCATTGGCTGAGGTCATGATCCTGAGGTCCTGGGATCAGCCCTGTGTTGGACTCCCTACTTGGTGGGGAGTCTGCTTTTCTCTCTCCCTCTGAACCTACCCCTTTCTGGTGCGCTAACACACGTTCTCTTTCTCTCAAATAAATAAATAATATCTTAAAGATGAAATAAAATGAAGTAAAATAAAAAATAAAATAAAATAACATAGGAGCACTTGGGTGGTTCAGTGGGTTAAAGACTCTGCCTTCAGCTCGGGTCATGATACCAGTGTCCTGGGATTGAGCCCCACATCGGGCTCTCTGCTCAGCGGGGGGCCTGCTTCCCCCTCTCTCTCTGTCTGTCTCTCTGCCTGCTTGTGATCTCTGTCAAATAAATAAATAAAATCTTTTTAAATAAATAAATAAAATAAAATAAAATACCAGGGTGCCTGGGTGGCACCCCATGAGTGAGACATCCAACTCTTGGTTTTAGCTCAGGTTGTGATCTTAGGATTATAAGATCTAGTCCTGCATTGGGTTCCGTGATCAGTCTGCTTGAGATTTTCTCTCCTTCTGTCCCCCCTCCCCTCTCTAAAATAAATAAATCTTTAAAAAAAAAAAAAAGAATAAAATACTTGAGAATAAACTTGACCAAGGAAACAAGACTTGTACACTAAAAACTATAAGATGTTGCTGAAAGAAATTAAAGAAGACACAAATAAATGGAAAGACATCTGTGTTCACAATTGGAAAACTTAATATTGTTATGATGCCAATACTACCCAGTGCAATACACAGATTTAATGCTATCCATATGGAATCTCAAGGGACAATGAACAGCCAAAACAATCTTGAAAAAGATGAAAAAAAGTTGGAGGACTCACACTTCCTGACTTCAGAACTTACCACAAAGCTGTGATAATCAAAAGAGTATTGGTACTGGCTTAGAGACAGACATATAGACCACAGTAACACAATAGAGAGCACAGAAATATACCTTCCCATACGTGGTCAACTGATTTTGACAAAGATGTTAAGACCATTCAAGCAGAAAATAATAACACTTGGTGCTGGGACAACTGGATATCCACATGAAGAAGAATGAAGTTGGGCCCTTATCATACACCATACGCAAAATTAACTTAGATCAAATAAACAAAGATCTAAAACTGTAAATCTGTTAGAAGAAAACACAGGAGAAAAGGTTTACATTGAAATTGGCAATGATTTCTTGGATATTAAATCCAACGTACAGGCAACAAAAGAAAAAAGTAGGGATGCCTGGGTGGCTCAGTTGGTTAGGCCGCTGCCTTTGGCTCAGGCCATGATCCCAGGGTCCTGGGATTGAGTCCCGCATTGGGCTCCTTGCTCTGCGAGGAGCCTGCTTCTCTCTCCGCCTCTGCCTGCCACTCTCCCCACTTGTGCATGCTCTCTCTCTCTCTCTGACAAATAAATAAATAAGTAAAATCTTACCAAAAAAAAAAAGAAAAAAGAAAAAAGTAAACTACATCAAAA